GCACAGGCTTCCCAGAGAGGTGGGGGAGTCCCCATCCCTGGGGGTTTTTGAAAGACGTGCAGACGTGGCGCTTAGGGACGTGGTTTAGTGGTGGGCTTGGCAGTGTTAGGTGACGGTTGGACTCCATGATCTTAGAGATCCTTTCCAACCAAATGATTCTATGATTCTATTCTACGATTCTTTTGTGAGTCCAAAGCCATCTTCTTAGTGGGTCTCAGCTGGAATTGAAGCACTGCCTTGCCATGTCAATGCAGGAGATTTCAGCAACAAATTTGACAGAGGATCGCTAGCTTCCTTTTTTATCCTTCCAACACGTGACAAAATCCCTCAGAGAAAAGCATTTTTATTTAAGTCATTGTAGCAAATTCTGTTTAAAGTTATATCCTCATGTTCGTGTTGACTTCACATACGTTTGACTTCAAGAAAAATGTAGGATTATTTTTTTCTTTTTTTCTTCAATTAATCTGCTAATTCTGATTTTTAAGTACCAATTTCCATTTGCTAAGTATGTCTTCATCAAACCTTACTGACTCTTCCAACCAAAGTTGCTAGCCAAAAAATAACTGCATTCTACCACATCCCTTCCCATCTCTTCTTCCTCTATAGAACTTGAAAGTGTGGAGTGAATTGTATATACAACTGCAAAAGGTACGGATGGAGGAAACTATGACTGAGGAGGAACTGCTAGAGTAGGAATTATTTTGCCTTGAAATAGTTATTCTTTGTCATGACTCTAAGTTTCATCTTTCTTTCTGAGTGGCTAATAAACTTTGTGACAGAAGAATGACATAGCAGGAAATTTTCAAAACTATCATTTTATTTACCCCTTAGATAGCCTATGCTCCTTCCGTATTCCCATGAGAATGGACTTAATATCTCTGTAACAAAATTTTCTGGAGGATTTAATATTTAAAACTGTTTGAAATATAGAGGACAGATACAGTATCATAATAATCAACAACTTCAGAGATGAAAGGCCCCTAGCATGCTTCTCTTTTACTCAACATGTTACTTAATGCAAATGATTAGAACAAGTATCTCCCTTCATGCACATATCATCAACCACTGCATTTATTTTCAAACAGCTACGTACAATCGTTTCAGCACCTATGAAACTTCAGACAGGTCTTTTTATTTAGCAGTTGCACTGAGTAAACCAAACCAAACACCAATGTTTAGTTATTGCACAGTTTCCTCCTTGACAACTTTTAAAATGGTTACAAACTCTGCAAGAACAAGCCAGGGCCTGTTGCCTTAGTTTCCATTAGAATCTAAAATCACTTGTAAAACACTAACAAAATATCAGTTTATCTGCTTCTATTGCATTTTTTTGCTGAATTCTTTTCACTTATGTATATTAACGTTGCAGATATTTTGACAATTTATTGCCAAATACACGTACTGTGGGACTTTGTTCCTGACCTAAGAAAGAAATACAAATGAAAATTGAAAGTACTTATCTCATGTGGAGACCAAAAATCCCTGCCCCACCCCGGATAAGGCATCTGTGGAATTCATTTTCAAATGGAAAATAATGTCCCTCAGATGTGCAAACTGTATTGGGGACTACAGGTAAATTAGGCTGTGAATACCAAACATATCATACTGGTTGACCCATTAAATCATCCCAGAAATTTCCCCATTCAAAAGTTTCATGTTTCATCATGTCCATGGAAACGAAAGATAACAATGCCACAGTGTTACACTCAAAATTCCTATTTCCTCTCCTGATACCTATGCAGTTTCTCAAGCATAAGCTCTGCTTAAAGCTAGGATTACAACTCTGGACATTTATGGAGCACAGATGTTCTGTATACAAAGTAAGTTAACTACTGATCTGTATTTTCTTATTTTTCAGTTTTAATTTAAAGTTGACAGTTTTGACTGTTGTATAGCAACATTATAAAAGAAACTCAGTAGCGTAGATTTAGAGAAGCTTCACTATTAGCCTGTAAAAATAGTCGTTGACATAAGGATTGTACCTAGAAAGGCCTCATGATTGGCAGTCGCATACTTCCTTCAGAGGCATTTTACCCTTCCTATATGTACTTCTTGGCCCGTAAATGATGGAAACATATATGTCCTTATTGCCAAAGTATGTTCCAGTTACTGGAAAGAGTTATAAGTGGGATAAACAATATAAGGGATTCATATTACACAGAAAACTTTCCAGGTCCTTCTACCCCTCTCTCAAATACTGTTAGCATGCACAAATATCCGTAAGTGCTGAAAAGAGACAGAACTAAAATGATTCAGTATCATACTACTCAATTTTCACAGATTAATTCTCCTAAATATCTCAGGTATCTCAGTATTGGGCAGAAAGACAAAAAAACCCAAGCCCCTTCCAGATACAACATAATCTAAAGAACAGAAGAATGCGTCATATCTTCCAACAATAGAGACGCTTCCCTGTTTTATTTCTCTTTTATTTCAGCCTATCCTAACAGGTTCTATAGATGAAAGTTTCTGCATTATACCAGCTTTTGACCTAAAAAATTTATCCTGATTTGCATTAAGCACTTCACTCAGCACAAAATCACTCCGTTCCATTTGTTCAGTATTGATTTTTACCTCAAAAACTTCTTCATCCAGAATCCTGGTTCCAAAGACAGTGATGCCATTGGTGTCCACAACTGTTTTGTCACTTCTTTCAAGTGGTTTTGTAGTTTTTTTGTTACAGTCAACAATCATTGTAACACTTTTTTTCTCCACACTAATAGCTACTCGATGCCACCTATTAAAAAAAAAACAATTCTACTGTAATTTATGTTTTTAAAACTAGGTCATTGTGTTCTTATCAAGACAGTTTATTGGAGATTGGGCACCAATCAAGTCACAAATAAAATTTTAAACACCTCCATTTATTTCCTTCTTTCATACGTACACAAATGTACACAATGTTTTGTCTATTCACTCTAGAACTTCTGTCCCTTAGTACAAAGGAATCTGATCCATAGCTCATTGTGAATATCCTATCTAAGATGAAGTTCAAGCTGACCTTTACCCAGAGAACATTAGTAAACTCCAATTAGAAGTGAGTGCACTCTTCACTTTTTATTAGACTGAATGATCTGACAGCAGATTTTTATGAATGTGTTTGATTTTCCAAATTACTTAAGGAATTACTTGTGCAAATATATTTCATCCAGCAGCTTATTCTTTGTTGTTTACATTTTACTATTTGTTCGCTGTGATCAATCAACAAAATTTTATCATGTTCTTTTTCTTATTTGGATGTATCCCATAGCTATAGAGATTTTTTCAAATACGTACAACAGTTCCAACATAGATGCTTTTCCAGATATATAGACTTACAAATGCTCACCAATATTCCTGCAACAATAGCTTTGCCTACATAAATATTCACCAACAAGTGAATGAAGTGATTGAGAACACTGACAAATGATTTTATTTTTAAGACATTTGACAATAAAGTTTTGTACAATTTGCCCAAATATACTGTGTTCTTTATGAGACTTTATTGTCATGACAGACCACATGAACTTAGTGAGCCTCTCTGCTATGACGACTTAAATATCTAAAAGCAAGAGCAAGCCACTCTGTAGTCTAACATGGAGCAAAACATCAAAGAATCTTTGACAGACCAGGGCAAAAAGTGTCGAAGTATGTCATATTAGTGACTGGTAAGAGGAAGGCTGGAATCAAATTATTTTAGTTGGCATTTGTGGCACTGAAGTTGTCTAAACCAGAGAGACAGCTTAGATCACTGTCACAAAGAGCTCCTGTATATCAAAAGGAACTCCTCGAAGCTAATGGCATCTGACTGCTAAACAGTGTCACTGAGCCAGAACGCTAATTCCATGTGTTCTCTGGAACACGGTTGAACATTATCATTATGAAAGCAAACCATCCATGCATCCTCAGGCACATTACACTGTTTACACTTTTTAAATATATCTCATTTTGAGACGAAGATTGTTATCCTAGATCCTTCATAAAACAGCTGAGTCAGAAGAAAATTGTCGGTCTACCTTTTGAAAGCATGCAGAAGCTGAAAGCATGAAAACATAGCTCACTGTGGATAGGACTGACTCCAGTTGATTTGGAAGCTGTATAGTCTCACTGAAGGAAACTGTACCAAACCAAGTTCATTTTGATTTCTTCATTAGCATGAGTTTCTCAACATTTTGGGTGAAATTCTGAAATCCATGTCAACATTTTGTTATTCAGTCAATGAAAAAAAAAAAGTTTGCTGCTTTATTTTGTCACTCCTTCTGCTAGGGAAATGCATCAGGTTCAGGTTTCATGGTATAATTCCATTCTCTGGTAATACAAGGACTAGAAGACAATTACTTTTTTCTTTTTTTAACCTTTAGTGCTTTATAAACATATTTTATTATAGTTGAATTTTTGCCCCTCATTCTCTACTGATTTGTTTTGTTTTGCTTTAATAAAATTTCATTCTGTGTATCTCTGAAGACTGCGGCTGCTCTTCCTGGACTGCAGCGCAATAAATAAAAAGCCTTTGAAAAAACGAATGTCCATTTACAAGCACTAAAATGACATCCCCGGAGAATGATTGCTTGTCTACAAAGGGAAGTTAGGTACAAAGAATTAACAACTGCCTTAATAATGCAATAGGTGTTTGAGATTAATTGCCTTTACTGAGGATGCAGGATAAGTCCTTGCACTTCAGATTAATTGTCCGGCTTATTCTTCGCTGATTTCCTTACGTACAGACATCTCAAACCATCTTATTTATCTGCTGTTGTGGTTCAGGACAGGAGAAATTCTATGGTGTCTTGTCAACTTGTCTTCACTCTGCCTGTCACCTTCAAATGGACAAGACAGCCCTTCTAGTGGGACTATTCCTTGAGTCTTTTTGAAAACAGAGTTTCTTTCCATATTGCACAGGAAGAATCTTCACAGGTTTAGTTTTGGCAGGTTGAACTTCTGTGACTATTTCTTCACTCTTGATTTATAGAAATGGCAAAGAAGAAAGGTGGTTTGGCTTCATTTGTAGCTGTATACACCATTTGAAGCTGGAACTATGTTCTGCTGCAAAGGTTCTGTGATTTTGTACCACAGCAGTTCGACTAGCTGGAAATTGTGTTACTGATTTATTTAAATATTTAAGATAACTGTTTGTAAAGACCATAATCACCTATACAGCGGTCTGTGGTATTATTTTTCATCTTAAAATTTTACACTTACTTGCCATCAGCAATGTTGACTGTTCTGAAGAGAGGATAGTCTTCTGGGACAGGTTTCCCATTTTGGTCTTCAAACAGGAAGACAGGGGATCTACCAACTTCAACACCTACTTGCTGAATTCCTTGTTCGTTGTAGACAGACAGAAGGAAGGACTGGATACCCTTCTTCGGCTTTACTGTCATTAATATTGAAAAATCTTCTGGAAAATCACCATCTGTAAACAAAGTGATATATACAGTTACAAGCTCAGAAAAGATGAAACCATTCTTTAAAGGTTTACATTTTTCTATAAGCACAGAGGAGCCCGCATATTTTATCTCTTTTTTTCTTTCTGGTTTCGCTTTAATTCATGAAAGATATACCTTAATGATTCTTAAAAACATGACTTGTAAATCTATTGTGGATTTATGTTATAATACAACATATGCAAGAACCACGATAGTTTCACATTAATTATTTTTTCTATTATATTTCTTTTTAGCAATCTTCTAATTTAAAGCGTGCACTACAATTTCACTTAACAAAATAAGTATCTGTATTATAGCAAATATGTTCCCAGGCACTTCATCTCCCTTGATAACCACTTGTTTTAGTTTTTCTCTCACAATATATATTTGAGTCTTTCTAGAATAATAATGTGAAGAACATTGAAAAAATATGTAAGTAGTTTTATTTAATAGGAGCTTTAGGCAAAATCAAAGAACATTTAATTTCATGTCTTCTCTGATGCTCTCTCTTTGAAGTAGAGATTATATATCAATCATTGCTTCAACCCTTACAACTAAAAATAAACAAAATTAAAAGTGGATATAGTTTGTTTATAAAGGAAGGACTGCGGTTTGTACTCAGTACTGCTCCTGCTG